AGAGAGAGAGAGAGAGAGAGAGAGAGAGAGAGAGAGAGAGAGAGAGAGAGGGGGGGGGGGAGGGAGGAAGAGAGAGAGAGAGAGAGAAATACATAGCAAGAGGGGGGGGGGGGGGGGGGGGGGAGAGAAACCCATAAGTCTCCAACCTGGCGGCTGACCTCATGCTACTTCCATTGATAGGATGAGCAACATTGAATGAATGTACAACTAGAACATAGAAATATACACTGCCACACTTGTGTGTGGTGTCGTTGCACACAAGCAAGGGCGTGACAGAAACATGGGGACACTCACAAATTTCTATCATGCCCCGGTAGCTCGCTCCTAGGCCCGGTGGAAATCCCCTTGAGTGCCTCCAACAGCGACAGGGGCACACTGAAAAGATAGATGGTACCGGTAGGGGCATTTCAAAATTTTTCCCAACGGCTATCCGGTAGGGGCAGGCTGCAAATGTCATGTGGGTACTGGTAGGGGCACTACGAAAACATATGAGGTCCAAATGACACTAGGGTTTTATGGAAAATTTGACTACTGGTCAGAGGGGCGCGACAGGGTAAATCGGTTGTCGAAGGGGCACGTCGCAAATTAATGGAAAATACAGGGGCGCCAAACAAACTTTCCCAATATCCAAACGTCCAGAACTACAACTCGGGCTGGGGTTATGCGGGTCAGACATGCAAAGGTATAATCATGCTCACCATTTGACACTCATGCAGCAACAACGCGCTTTTCAGATGAGAACTCCGAGTCCTAGGCAGGGGACAACTACAAGCACAGGTTTGAAAACAGATAAGATTGGGCCTCCGGTTAAAGTCCGGTCGTAGGCTCCGTCTTTTTTTTTTTTTTTTTTTTTTTTGAAACTCCGTATATAACGGTATATGAGAAACCTACTTAGCGAGGTGATAAGAGCATCCCCGGTAAGTAGGTCCCAGCGTTGAAGGCTCCATCTATTGGTGGGAAGCTGCACCTGCTGGAAACCGGGTCCAACGTCCCTGTACAATGCTGTGAATGTATCTGCTGGAAATCGGGTCCAGCGTCCGGATGCAGAGCTGTGTTGATAACTCCACCTGCCTATGTATGCACGTTAAACAATATATGTCAGATGATGGGAGAACCATATCCAGTTGATCAACAGTATCTCAAAAACAACCTGAGTCATCATCAAGTCCAATCTAATGAGGCCTGACTGCCTATCAAATACAGTCCATCAACTTATAGCATTATGCAAGGCCTGTTACGTTATTGTTAACAATAGCCCTGTGCTGCATGAGTTGCAGTTGAAGTTGTTTCAAGTTGTGCCTCTTGTCCCATAATGGCACGTGTTAAGTGGGATATGGTGAATGCA